TATGGGGTTCTTTGGCATTCGCCGTTAAATTGTAATTTATTTTTAACCGTTTGCACTCATTTGTCATGCTCGTGATGGCGATATAAATTTGTTATACTTTGTTTGTGGTACTTCTAAAGTGTGGCAATTTTCAAAGATTATAAGACTTAAATCTTATTATGATAATGATAAATTGAATAAATACAATACGTTGAATTCTATCGCTGTAAATTACTTTCTTTCGTTTCCCTTTTTTAGCGATAGATTACAAATGGAATATAGTCGCTTAAATGGGTGGAATTCAACGTTTTATATTTATTTTATTTATTATAATAAAATTTCTATAATTTGGAGATAATTCTATAATTTATAAGTAATAAGATTTTTATAATCTCTTAAAGTGTGGTACTTTTTGAAGATTATAAAAAGTATATCTTGTTGTAATAACGATACATTGAATAAATATAAAACGTTGAATTCTATCGCTGTAAATTACTTCATTTCTTCAGAAATAAATACAAGTTTACACACAACGTTGAAAATAAATCGAGTACAAAGGGTTAAAACAATAATGAATAATTTCCATATTAGGAAAAGGGGAATGAAAACAATCATATAATCCAGATTAATATCAATTGCAATACATTTCCATAATTTCGTACCTATTTTCGCTGGCATTTCAAGGATCTCAATTACAAGTGAATTATAATTACAATTATCAATCGAACAATAGCGTTTTAGATTTCACCAACGCATTGTACATTAACGTTTGGTTTTTTAAAGATATCTTTAGTATCCATCGTTAAATTGTAATGTATTGTTAAAGCAACAACGAATAATCCTCGCGTTAATATAAATCAGATTAATTTCAATTACAATATGTTTCAATACTGTCGATCATTTCGATAATTTCATACGCAGTTTAGCACACATTTCAATGATCTCAATTATAAGTGAATTATTATTACAATTTTACAATAACGCTTCGAATTTCATCAACGCATTATACATTGACGTTCCATGTTTTAAAGATAGACTAATTACACCTAATATGGAACGCCTGATTTGAAAAGCTCACCAAAACGAGGGACATACGTGTTTTCAGTAAAATCTGTATCAAAACACGAAGAAATTAATAAACATTCGTAAACATTGATCGACAACAATGGAAAAATTTAAATGTTTGCAAACCACGGTGAAAAATGTAAATAAAGTGAAAAACAGCGATATGAAAAATTGACACCAAATACGGAACACGAACATTTATGGACTTCAAAAGGATAAATAACCGATTTTTTCAGTTTTTTTGCAATTGCCACCATAAAATAAAAACGTTATCGTTTTAATTACTAGATCGTAACTGCCAGTTCATTTCGAAACAAACTTTTCGTTGAAAATAAAATTTCGAAATAACCATCTAATTTCCTTTTTTTTTCTGCCCTCTCCTATATTTTTTAAAACTTCTATTCGTTAATTGCGAACACGACGGAACTGCAAATTGGATTTCGAATTTAGCCATCTATTTAACGCCGAGATTTTCCTGCGTGTGACTCTGTAATTCGAAAATAAATGCCAGGAATTAAAACCTTGTTAGTCGCATAGGAATATTTTAATTTAGTGTGAAATTGCAATTTAATATTCATTTTCTTTGAAACTATTTTTTCAGAAAACAATAGAATGATCGTGGCTATTTTCAAAATTGAATTTGAAATTTGATAATTTATATGTTGTTGAATTTTTAATTTGCAAACATATTGTAATAACTTTGTAATTTGTAAAAGAATATTTTTATATAAAGTTTTTTATATATATTTCTATAAAACCATAATTAATTGTTTTAAATATAAATTATCCATGAAACTATTTTGTTATGATGAGAATGATAATAATTACATTTGTCTTCTTCTGTAATAATGTTAACATTGTCTTGTAAAAAGTCTACCGCGATGACGGACGATAAAGTATAAAAAGGTCCTGACCTATATTTAGCCTTTTAATCAGCTTATGGGTTTCTCTGTAGATTTATCAGTGTAAGTTGCACGGCCCTTGTAAACGTCCCTTGGAAACTTCATTAAGAAGATGTTGCTGCTTAAGCGGATATCCTCAAAGATTTCCCTTTATAAGGCCAATGAAATTAAGCAATTATTTTTAATAGCGGATTCTTTGAATTTGATGTAGACACCTGTAAACACCCTTTGAACGTTTAATCAGAAGCAAGCATCTGAATGAAAATATTTTCTGATTAAGAAACTTTTATTCGAACAGTTAAAAACTGAATGGTTCAAATAAAAATTGTTAATATAATTTGATCGTTATTATCTTTGAAACTGAGATTACACGTTGAATTAATTCGGGGTTAACCGTAACTCAGTAAATACCTAATGTGTATTCAAATCCTTATCTAATCCACGCATAAGCCCTTAATTAAATCAAACTTAGCTGATATCCTGTTGATCAAGATTAAGCCTCATTTAATCTTAGCTAGCACCTAAACAAACTAATATGTTATTTCAATACAATTCTATATTAGATTTGATGGAGATAACATATGGAACAATTATAATTGAAACATACAATCACACTCACCCATAAATCAGACCTAACCTAGACGAAACTGAGTTATAGGTTAGGTCTAAATTAAATCTAATTCACTCGTCACTTAAAGAATATTAACTAGATATAGTGATTGTCTAAGCCTAAATTAGATTTGACATAATGGCAATTAGATTCCATATCATAATTAGCTCAAGCTTAAAAATAAATACTAAAATAAACCTAACCAAAAATCTGAACTGAATGAAGCTTGTTTACGATGTTCCTAGCTTATATTGTACCAATTTAATACTCAACCATCATTTTATTTTCAATAATCACTTTAAGACTGTCATCAAACGAAATCGAAAAAAAATGATTTCTCAGTGGTTGGAGATTGAGCAATTAATATTCCTGTCGTATGTAAATAGTATACTCGAATTGAGAATTATATTGTCGGAACACTGGTTGGCAGTTTCGATGAAAGTGTGTTAGGCAGACTCCTGCTGATTGCGCTGAATTATCAGTAAACTGGACGCTTTGAAAATTATAAACGACGATCGAATTATACAAAATGTTTAAATCAGTTATGTGCGCGGTGGTGCATTTAGAATCATGCTCGTATTCACCAGCCAGCCCACGAGCTGCGCATTCACAGGAAACACGTCGCTAATAATTCAGACATGATTCGTTATCAACTGTACTTGACGAATCTTTCTTGGCACACTGTATGTCTATTATATTTGACTAATTGTCAATTAGCTGCTGTGTATTTATACATCACTAAGTATTAATTGTTACTCATTTCCGAATCATAATCACCTATTAACTGTTATTCCTTAATTATCACGTGTTATCTATTACCCTTAAATCATTGAATATTTCCCTTTGTAAATAATTATTCAATTAACTGCCCCATTACATACATTGATTAGTTTACCTAGTTTCATAATCTTCCAAACATTCTACTTCATAATACGCAGTTTCGAATATTTCAATTTACTATACATGTACAGTTGCATTAAAAGTATAGACAATCAAAGGAATTGAAATGAAAAATGTGCTGATCATATGTAAGATCCTTAGATGTTTCTTATGTATCGTCACTAAATTTTTAACAGTACTGTACCAGAGTTTCTCAAACCTATCTCTGACCAACCACTGTATGACGAAATATATTTTGCATAAATTGTTTATTAGTTTTCTCCTTTATTCTAGGTCAGAAACAGTGACTATCATTTACTAAGATATACATATAATCCCCAGAATCATTCAATTTTATTTACCAAAAATCATTTGTAAGATCCTCAGATGTTTCTTATAAATTGTCACTAATGTTTTAACAGTACTGCACCAGTGTTTCTCAAACTTATCTCTGACCAGCCACTGTATGACGAAATATATTTTGTATAACTTTTTTATTCGTTTTGTTCTTTACTCTAGAGCAGAACAGTGGCTGTCATTTACTGCCTATTAATAATATCATGCGGTCCATAGTTGAGAAACACTGTTCTAGACAAAGTTACCCCCTAGAGTAGGCTTACGCAGCCAGTGACCCTGTCTCCTTTTCTAATAGCTGAACTGAATAGATGAGATCTCGGACCTCCAATCTCATCAGCTGATTCCCCAATCCTCCTTCGCGATCCCCTAATCCTTATTACTGATGGGGCTGAAAACTTTGGACGTGGAGTGCGGATCTCATTGGTCAGACCCTTGATTCCTCATCGCGGTACACGTGACTAACCTACATATGGAACGGGGGCGTTTATACGTTAATCCAGTGTCCGTTGTTCGGTGGGTTATCATTGCATAGCCCTGGCCCTGCAGTCTTAAAATGCAAATCTGCAAATTCTCTGTTTAATTAACCACCTTAAGAGAAATTTATTTGCCACCATTCTATTTTGAAATTGGAGAAACTTTTATGCAAGCAATTTAACCATTGCTTAATTTCTTATTTTATTAATTTTTTCATTGGAATCAAATGCTAATATTTAGAAGAGTGCTGTTGAATATCTTTTGTCTCTGAATCCAATTTGCAAATTCTACCAAGGAAATCAAAAGATTCTGCTATTCCATTGTAAAAGAATTAGATCTTAAAGTCTGTGTGTTTTCGTGTTAAATACAAATGTTTGGTTCAAAATTAAATAATGATGATGGAAAGTTTCTCTAAATATTTTATTCACATAGATCCTCGATTAATCATTTGTTCTTGTTTGTCATTTTAGGAAGAATTTCGACGGTTCATTAATCAATTAGAGGTTCTCAAAGAGAAGAACGTTCTTCTTGGTAATCACCACCTTGTAAACAAGTTGGCAGCCATGCACGAGGCAGCGAATCGCGCAGAAACCCAAGTCTCCACGATACAGGCGATCTCTTCGAGCATGAGACTGAACGATCTGAATGGATCCACGGCGATCGCCGAGACGAACGTTGGCGGGTCGTACCAGGTTGACAGTGACAAGAAAAGCGGTGAGTCAATAACCTGCATTTATTATTTTCTATTAGTTTTTGGACTCCGACACTGAAAAATCAACAAAAACTCCTTTCATCATTTTTTTCTCATTAATTCCAATTACGATACCCTATATGATCACTTATTTGAGACTCCAACATTGAGAAACCAACAATAACTTTGAAATTCTTTTTAGATAAATTCCTTTTAACAATTACTGACGTTAAGTCCAATTGAGACACCCTATATAATCACCTATATTCGCTATTGATAAAAACATCCCAATGTCAAGCGAAAATCATTTCTTGTCACTATAATCACTAGACCATAGATCTTTGTGCAAACTCAAATTCTTACGAACGTAGTTAAAAAATAAAATCACGATGGAAAATAGTTTTTCCTGAGAAAAACTATAAAAAGTACTACAATATTGGATATGTTATATACTGTTTCCTATTACGTGCAATCTGTGCACTTCTGCACTTCCAAATTTCCCATAAACGCGTAAAAATCTGTAGCCTACTGATTACTTTACTTTAGTCATTCTTTTTCTTTTAGTAATTTAGTAACTTTTCACTCTTAAACTAAGACTTCAAACTGTACGAAACAGTCGTGAGATCAGGGCGTGAAACAATGTGTTCAGGTGTCGAGTCGAAGGAGGAGAAGAGGTGCCAGGCCTGCCTAGAGAAGAATGGCATCAAAAGTAGGGAGCAAAGCTCCTCAAAGGACACCAGTGAGGTCCTGGTGACTGTCGAGGCGAAGAAGACTCCTCGTACCACCGACGTCGCAGTGTCCACTTCCAGTAGGCCAAGCACAGAGGACATTGGCACGGAAACCAAGCAAGAAGAGAAGGAGACTAGAGAGAAGAGCAAGAGCAAGTCTGGCCACGCCAGGACTCACGCCATAGTCATCAACCTGGACGACAAGAGCAGGTTCTCTGAAGAGGTCACTGTGTAGAGACATTGGTCACATGATCTACGGACTATCCTCTTATTAGAGTACTCTAGCTTCAAGATTTGTCATTTCGAATTGTGCAGTGGAAGAGGTCAGTGTTGTTGGTGTTCGCACGTAGACAGTTTGAAGGTGTGTTCAACGAGAGATCACTGGAAAATGTAAGTGGAAAATTGTTTGAAAATGCTGTTCGGTTTCCCAAAGGCTCGGGAACGACGTGGACCAGATTTGTAAAGTTTCTGAGAACGTTGAGATCACGGTTTTTCACTGTTTGGAAACGAGCGTCTTTGGGAAACCGAGGTGGGAAGTCTTTGAAAGTGTCTGTCTTTCGAGCAGTGAGCAGAAAATGGAGTAAACTTAGTTATCGAACGACGGGACTTGCAGCAAATGGGTAAACGCACTCTTCCCGGAGATGTGCATCACCGATCCGTCCCAGATAGAAAAGTTCCGCACCCTTTCTCTACTTTCACCGATTTTTATGGGCATCCCTCGACTTCGGGGTACTCCGGTAACGTTAACTTAACCTACATAGCGCCTGCGTCGTTATTAACGAACGTATTTTATTATCAGCGCACGGTGCTGCAAAATTCGAGTCCGAAACTTTGACAGAACGATTCTTCGGGTGAAATTACATCGAAAACATCTAAAGAACTTTCTTTCTAGGGCGTACCGTTCTCGAGAAAAAGGAGTTAAAAGTTCGGCACCGCCCACAGCTCTGGTAGCCACGCCCTTTTCGACGCGCGCACAGTTGTCATATCTTCAAACCCAATTTTCTCGGAACGGGCGCGTCCTATGAGAAAATTTCAAGGGGCAATTTCGATTCGTTTTTGATCGAGAAATCAAATGTCGTCGAGATTTCACGCGAAACCGAAGCTTCGCCGATAGAACACCTCATCGAATCACACCGTCTGAAGCTGTGGAACACGAGTCTTGATTTCGCGCCTCGATATTTACTGTCACGAAACAATACTTGTTCAGGGCTCAGAGTCGCGAACGTTGTTTATTTACGTATTGAATTCTATCTGGGACACATCCATCAGTCTCGACGCGCAGCGATGTTCGCGCGCTCGCTCAGCTTCTGTAAATATACGCTCTAGCCGCTTATTCGAAGTCTTCTGCCGTACGCGTAAGTCGATCTGTAAATAATACAAGTCGCTCCGCGAACGAGTCGCGAGTTCTACATGATCGAACCCGTTTCCGCCGAGATCTCGAGCGTGTCAGCGAATGCGGGGGTGGAGAGGGGGCGGGGCGAAAGTTGCCCCCACATCGCGCGCTCGTCATATCAGTCCAACTGTAAATAACGTTGTACATAAAACACGCGACGCGAGTTTGCCACTAGACTAACGATCGAGTTTCGTTGTTATGATCATGCGTTAGGTTACCACGGACGTCGTTAGGCTAAACGAGAAGTTTCGTCGGGTTGTTGCGCACGTGGCGGTCTTTCCGAATTTCCGGAAAATTTCATTCGAATCCGAACGAATTTTGAACAATTCCCAACACTTTTCGCCAATGAATTTCGACGATATTTTCATTGCTGAAAAATATGTTGTTTGTTGATATTTATACAGAAAAAATTGTTTAATGGTTGAATTAATTTAGGGATTTCGTTTTTGGTGATTCAAAATTCATGTTGGAAGTGGAAGTAGATCAGAGTACAATACTTTGATATAAATTCGTTGAAGGTGAACTGGTGGATAGCTTTCCATTTGTTTTAAAGAGCGTTTGACAGTGAAGTGTGCTCTCGACATGAATGAGGGAATAATGATTTGAGAACACTCGAATGTCCCGATCATGTGCAACAGCCTGATAATCACGCGACAATGGACACTTTTCGACGCGCTGCGTTGATGAACGAATGATGATGGCGAGGAGACGTCGATGGGACGGTGATGGGAATATTTATTGACGTGGAATTTAAGTTGGGTTGTTGCATACAAAATGGTGTAGATTCTTTTTCATTTTTATTGGATTATTTTTATTAAATATTTCTGTTGGACGAAACATTTCTATTGTATAATATCATTAGTAATGTTTTTTGGTGACTTTTTTGTCGATGAATTTTCATTGTCTATAGCGAATAATTCTTTTTATTCAAAAAATAAATTTTATCTTGAAATTGCAATGAAATTTTGAGTTTCAAGTGAAATATGCGATTTTATATTCTACTATATTTTACGATAATTAATAACACACCCGTCGTACGTGCGAGGTTAAACAATTAACTCCACTGTTCCGTGTGCAACAAGTTATTCGATTGAATAATGCTCACTGAAGTGGTGGGAGTGTTCATCGATCCGTGCCGAATCGTTAACAAGTCAAACAGTCAATTCTTCTCAAATCTAACACACTTGATTCCTTTAAATTATTATTGCATAATAAAAGTAAACTTCTTAAAAAAGTATATACGAAAGAAAACAATAAAAAAACTCCGAAAACATTAATTAATAAACTCACAGACAGAAAGATTATTTAGTTACTTAAATTTATTATTAAAAGAAACATATAACTTGTTTTCTTAAAAGAAAACATACATTTTGTAATATTTCTTTATTTTTAGAACAAATAATATAATTAATAAGAAAAACATATTTTTTTTAAATATCAAATACAATTGAACATTTTTATTTTTAATATTATTAGGTTCCTACAGAATGTCTAAGATTCCCAGTCTATCTTCCTTTCGCAATCTCGTTCCCCAAGGGAAGCGACGATTAATTAGATCGCCGATTATTTACCACCGTAACCGGAGTCACCTGGCTGTTACTCGGATCGGTAAACCTCCCGCCAACGAAATCTTGCATGAAGATTAATTACCGTTTTAATTGGACGTTCCATCTGAATTCGCAAATTCCCCGACCGGATCGATCAGTTTTTTCTCGACGTCATCTACCAGTGAGTAACGGTATCAATTGCCTCAATCCTTGGTATCAGTCCTCGGATGTTTATCGACGCCAATACGAGATTCTACTAATTAAGTAAACATTTTAATTATGCATATCGGTCTTCGGGAGCCTTGGTCCGCTGGGAGAAGAGTTTTTAAGGTACTCGCGGTGCATTACCTGGTGTGATTATTAACTGGCGTCTGAATTTAGAATTCCAAGGATTTTAATATTTCTTGATGGCCTCCTTATTAGATGGACATCCATTGTGGAGATGATAGAGTGATGAAGAGTGGGTTAATTGGATAGGTATACTAAGAGATTGAATATTTGGAAGTTGTTAAGGTTAGAATTGGTGTGTTGAAGATGGTTGTTAGATTTTTTATTAATTTTATGGCTACAGACTTCTGATTAGAATTGGTGTGTTGAAGATGGTTGTGAGATTTTTGATTAATTTTATGGCTACAGACTTCTGATCAATCTTAAGTCAACGAGGTTTTAGTTTATTTTGAGTCCTTGACTTCTTGTTATTCTGAATCATCAGAATTCTAGTCAATCTTGAGTCCTTGGATTTCTAATTAGTTCTGAGTCTCTAGTCCGCTGATCATTCTTGAGTGTCCAGGCTTATGGTTAATGTTGAGTATCTAAGTTGCTAAGCAATTTTGAATCTATAAATTTCTAGTGAATCAAATTTCTAATTATTTGAACGTTCAAACATTCTAATCAATCTCGAGACCTCGAACGTCTAGTCATGTTGAACCCCTAGAATTCTAATCAATATCGGGTCTTTAGATTTCTAATTAATCTTGAATCTCTAAGCTTCTAATCAATCTTTAGCCTTCAGTCTTCTGATGAATCTTGAATTCCCAAACATTTGACCAATTTTGAATCTTCAGACTTTTGATCAGTCTTTAATGATAAATACTGAACCCTTAAATTTTTTATCGATTTTGTATCTCTAGATTTCTACTCAATTTGAAATCAGTAGAATTCTTCAATTAGATTCCAATTTAGAGTCTTCAAATCTCTGGTCAGTCTTAAACCCTCAAAGATCTGACCAAACTTAGACACTAAATAATCTGGGGAACGACTTTATATGTAAAGGTATATATATTGTCCTGGATCAAATTAGATCGTCATTCGGAATCTTCGAATATAAAGAACGAATCCCAGGTTTTCTGTATCCTACAACCAAGGATCAGCAGTAAACCTTGATATCATAGATACGATCGCCCCATATTCCTCGCAGCGTTAGACAATATTTAAATGAGCCATTCGTCGAGATGGGAGAAGGAAATACAATTGAAGGATAGCCAGGATCTTTAAATTTTCTGTCTCCTGGACCTTCTGTTCGAACAGATTAAACTTCATAAATATGTAATAACATTAATAAGCTACACTACTTAATAATAATCAATCATTTTCCTCGAACAATAATTTTATTATAAATTATTAAATTGCAGTATTGAAGATGATTTATTGGCTCACTATTCCAATTGCTATCATCACATTTTCTAAAGAAATTATTAGATATTGATCATTCGTTTTCAACAAATGTGTAATAGCGAATAGTTAGAGTACTGCAGTCGAAAATGTATTTCATCCCTTCGTCCCTTAACATCGAATTCCGATAATCGAGTCGAATGTCGGTGGTACCCGGCTTCAGATAGGGAAGACGCCAGTCTCCGGTGGAATTGCCGCGGTGGAGATAAACTCGCCGATACTGGGATCTTATAGACCCTCTTCTCCCAGGGGACCGGTGGATGGATCGCGTTACTCCTATAATAACGGGAAACACCGAGTAGTTCTAACGAGTATCAGCAATATCGCTTTCTCGATTAAAACTGGCGCCGGCTCGCGTTTCATTTTCCGCGGGAAATTCGAATCACGGCGCTGGACGACGCGCCCAGTTAAATTGGGTCGCGCTTTGGTGCTGGTAATTCACTATAGATTTCTCCATATATATTTACTTCCATTTATTTTATTTACATTTATATTTATTTTAATTTATTTTATCTATGTTTATACTCATGTTTATATTAATTTATTTTATTTACATTTACATTTACTTCAATTTATCTTATTTATATTTACATTTATATTTATAATTACATTTATTTCATTCATTGTTGATATTTATTATGAAAAGCAATTAGTACGGAATACTTCTAAACTACTCTCATTTATAATCGTTTAATTTTCATTGGATTCTTGTCAGACATTCATTTCCAATGAATCGTGGGATTTATTAATTTCTTCGGAGAAGAGATGATGTTTGTAATTAATTTCAAGCATCTACCAGTTTCGTGTCCTGTCCTTGTTTCGTTCGCGCACGACGGAAACGTTCGATCCGAAAATGCGCCGAGTTTCCCGCGGATCGTCCGCGAAATTGTTTCTCGGCTCTACGATGAGCTTGAAGATCCTCGAGCAGAGAACGCTCGGGAGACGGAAAAAAATGCTCGGTGTCGACGGGGATTGATCCGTCGCCGACGGAGGCTGGTTCCCCGTCGCCGCTGCGCCGG